CAGTTCTGGGTTCCCCATTTCAAGAGGAACCGAAACCCACTGGATAGAGTCCAGCGAAGGGCTACGAGGATGACTGGGGGGCTGGAACGCCTGTCTTATGAGGAGAGGCTGAGAGAGCTGGGGCTTTTTAGTCTGGAGAGAAGAAGACTCAGGGGGGATCTAATTAATGTGTATAAATAGACGAGGTGTCAAGAAGAAAGGGGCAACCTCTTCTGTCATCTGCGTATTGCAATCAGGAGCATTTGATCAATGAGAGTGATGTTTTGTGTTGTTAACAAATGGTACTACGTGCCAGCTTGGCATCTAGGAAAAATAAATTAATCGGTTCTTTAAAAAAATAAATAAAATCACTAATTATTTACTTGTAGTTTATTGGCGTAGAGAGCAGCAGGTTGATTTGAGACTAAGCAGAGAAGTAAAGTTAGGAACATTATTTAAATTGCTCCTTCCCAGTCCTGAAGAGAAGCAAGTATGCTTAATTTTTGAATGAGGCTGGATTATTTTCTTCTGCAAGTGAGATTTGCAGACAGCTTCCCATCTTATTTTAAGACAAATAATTAGAAATTGACCTTGATGAGATTTTATTGGGTGTCTTATTGCAGGAGTTTGAATAAAGTGTTCTCTTGTTTGTGGAACCTTTGCTACTCAGTCTCTGACCTCCTAAGCCTCAGAACGGCAGCAAGTAGCAGCATAAGAAGTTTGCAAACTGATAATAGCATTTTTTAAGTCAGTCTTATTTGCAAAACGTTACTGAGCTTTTGTATGTGGTTTGTGGTCAGTTATAATGAAATTCATAATTATGTTTCTGCTTGATACTTGCATACTAACTTATGGTTTTTTGAGTCTCATTGCCTTTAAACGTTATGAAGCTATGCTGAATTTTTTGTGAACTATATTGACTAGAGAGAGACTAGCTCTTGTTTAGAGAAAAGATGACACTGACGATGGAGGAAGCATAGTTTTGTGAACAAGTGACCCTTGTAGTTTGTGAAGTAGCTGTGCCACCAGAGTGGTGTAGATGATGCTGAAAACAAAAGAATAATTAAGCCGTCTCTGTATTCTGGCATCCACTGTTGTACACTTGTTGTGATAGTCACCTTATCTGATGTTAGAGATGTTAATGGCTTGTGGCAGCCAGTTCTACCTCTAAAGGCACCAAATTGGATATTTGGAATAGTTGTGAGGGAAGAAAGGTCAGGCAAAATAGTCTTGTTTCCAAAAGAAATACAAAAATAAACAATTATCATAGAATTCAGAATATGATTTATTTGTCAGATGCTTGAAAGAGTCTTACGCTATACTGTTGAAATGTTAGTGTACTGTTTCATTTGTTAGAAATCCATTAGAATAAAGTAGTGTGAGTTTGTTTGATGACCTATAAAGACAGCTGTTGAACAGCCAGGATGCCATTCTTTGAATCTAAAAGCAAGCTGTCTTCACACCTGCATGAGGGAAGCCTAGCAGTACCCTCAGTAAATGAGGTTTAGTCCATTGTAATGTCTGACTGAAATAACAGTTGTTAAACACAACTTTTTTAGTGGCTTTTTTTATTGAGTATTGTCAATAGAAAAACTACACAGCTGAATATGTGAGAAGTTGCTGAGGATGTACTAAATGGATGTAGAAGGCTTTGGAGGTAAGGGACTATATGGAATCAAATGGACTAAAAGGATGAAAAACTGGTCTTGAAAGATTCTTTTTTTTTTTTTTTTGTGTACAGCACGACTCAGGAATGTATTCAACGTTTAAAAGTATGAGAAGTATGTTTATGTTTTTTCAAAAAAATAAATCCAAGGCAATTTTGAAAGGCAGATATTGGTGGTAGTTTTATTCTGTGGCATCCTGCAGAGCATAAGGCAAGGCTGAACAGAGAAGTACTGGTTACGATTTCTGGATGAGACAAAATCTCATTTTCTCAATCCTCTCTCAACTCCTCATGTTACATAAAGGTTCTATTTCTGATTGAGCTCTGTTTTATTTTTAGGAGCATAGTATCGTTTTTAAAATGGAAGTTAACCTGAACGGAAAGCCCAGAGCTGCCCTGTCCACCCTGCCGGTGCCCGC